AGTTGAGTGTTTTTGGGCAGTTTTGAAAAATGTTTGGCAAACTCTGGCTCCATATTTAGAGTTGGAAACTAACTCCATCGAACCAGCCAATGTTCCTTTCGAAACGGGAGGACTGTTTTTGTTTATATTCCGAATAAGAGCATGGCCGGAACTTGTTTGCGCCCCAAAAGCGAGTGGCGCAAACGTCAATCGGTGTCCTTCTCTGCCCGCTAGTACAACCCTCGATGAACGCTAGACACACGTCAATTGCGCTCCGTTGCCATAATTTCATTCCCCACTTGAACCTTTTCCGATTCTTCTGAAACCACCAGGTGTGTAGCAAGAGGTCACTGGGGGACGCCGCACCCGCTTGTAATTCCAGGTATGAATTAAAGCGGTTCTCGGGTACGGAGTGTTACGTTGGATTACCAAAGTGGCATCTGCGCTCGTGACGTCTATAAAGGTATTTTCCGTGCGAGACAGCAACACACTGCACCCGGATAGTATTCCAACCCATTAATCAGCATTGAACCAGTGAGGTTCCCACAACGACAAATGTTCCACGCTAGATACGCGAAGAAATCGTTTTCCGTGCTAATGAACCACACCGCGTCTTACCCAATCGCCGCCCTATCAGGATCAGGGAGGCTGTACGTCTGCGCTTGGCGCGCAAATTTGAATTAAAAGCGGATGCGATTTCGCACGGTGAATTCTTCCGTACCAAGAATGTTCTCTGCTATATATCACATACTTTATTGCCGTTTTGCAGAAACCCTTGCATTCAAAAATTAGCCGCTACCGGAGTGATCACATCAGTTGAATGGAAGTTGAGTACATAAGGAAAATACGCGATCGTATGATCACATCTCTATTGTACCTCTGGGTTAAGAGTCGTGTCTCTGCAGCAATCTTTGCCTTTGATTTTACTCTTCTTTGTTATAATCTGAGTCATTTCTGCTTTTTCTGTTTTCCTGCAGAGCTGTACTTTATGTGGTCATCTGCGATTTCCTTAGTTCAAATGAAGTTCGCTCGAAAATTGTATGAACTTCAAAAGTAACGAATCTAACAATGTTCTTTAATAGGCACGATTCGCCGGCAACTTCGATCCCTTCTACAGCAATGGTCGACGTTAAGCCGGTGTCTCCGTGAGTTTTATCTTTATATATGTTCAAATTCAGCATATCTCTTGCATTTTCATCAACAGCTCGCCTGTATTCAGTACTCCTCCCTTTTCTTTTTCACTACCCTCGCCTCGGGTCTATTCCAGTTAGGGGGGCATCATGGTGTGCGGTGACTCCCAAAAAGCTACGGTAACTCTGAGCCAGGGGGAGTGTAGCCAGCCTAGGGGGTGGGGGTGAGGGCAGTCACTTGACATGCGTGAGAAGCTGGAATGTTCGAGTTTACATTAGCTCGCCGAGAAACTGCATCATGATGCCCCCCCCTAACTGGAATAGACCCCTCGTTGCTTCATGTTATCAATATCATGTTCAAGCAGCGTGAGCCTAGTACTCACCGTCCTTGAACATGATATTTCTTGCGTCGCAATGCTAACTGGCAAAGGGAATGACGGCGAATCTCACTAACTAGCTCAATCTTATTCTTGTGGAGAGTTATGGGGCTAATCGTGGTGGGGTGTGTGGTACTTAGAGACAGAACGCGACTTTTTCGCTTTTCGCAACGCGACATCTATCGGGCAGCAGGCTGGCGGCTTCCCGCCAGACGGGATAAGCAAACTGACCGGCAGAGATGGATGGTAGAGCTTCTGGAGAACCTGGAAGAAATGGTTGATGGACGTTTGATGAGAGTTAAGATGTTATACCCTTATGCAGAAGTCTATACAACAATATGAACCCACAAAATGCAAGCACAAGCGACACTATTAAACCCTCGTTCACCGATAATTCGTAAAACACCATTTTAGTGGCATCGCCCGGAATCGTGTAAGTCACAAAACGTTTTCAATAATGAGACAGAATTAGTGATTCACCGCATTTATCAATACAATGGGTGTGAGCGCGGGCAAGTAAGGAATCAGAAACTTACAAATTCACGCATGCAAAAAAAGCTGCTCCAATCGCGCGTTCTTCCATACCGTAGTTTTTTCGCTGCGGGAGCGCTAGCCTGCCGCGCGATGTCGCGTTGCGATGAGCGAAAAAGTCGCGTTCTGTCCTAAGTACCGCACACCCGT